CTGCCCAGGCGGGTCTCGAACCTGTGGGCTCAGGCAATCCACTCACCTCAGCCTCCCAAAGGCGCGGGATTACAGGCTGAGCCACCGAGCCTGGCTGTTTGGTTTCTTTTTTAAAGACGGGATCTTGCCGTGTTGCCCAGGCTGGTCTTTAGCTCCCGGGCTCAAGCAGTCCTCCCCTCTTGGCCTCTTGAGGAGCTGAGATGACAGGTGTGCACCACCAGGTCTGGCTTGGATTTTTTTTAAGAACATTTTAAATAAGACTTTTCCATTTCGACAACTCCCAGAAGATGGTTTACTCATGTTTATCTTTAAAAAACGGTGGTAAGATGCACATAACAAAATGTACCATTCTGACCCTTTTTAAGCTTCCAGGTGAGTCGTGTTAAGTACACTCATAGTTGTGCAACCAGCCTGTGGGTTTCCTGGTGGTGAAATTTCTCCTTACTCTATCAATGGCGTGTTTTATATTAGGATTTTGGGGCTTGCCAGGGACAGAAACTCTCACTAAACTGGCTCAGAAGAGGGCAGGGGGTAATTAATTGGCCCTTGGAACCCAAGTCCTGCAGTCATGAGGGAATTTTGAGTATGGCAGGATCTAGGTGCTCGCACCCAGCCAGCAGGAGTTTCTTGTTTCTTACATACCCCGTTTCCCCATCTCTCTTTCTCTGCCCCGTCTTCCTCTGCTCCGCTCCCCGTTCTACTTTTCGCCCTGTGGGCCTCATTCAAGACAGGCCCGCTGTCCTCAGGGGGCGCTCCCAAACATGCCTTCCAGGTCCAGGCCCACTCAGCCCAGCAGCCTCGTGAAAGAGGCCCCCTCTTTCTTGGGCGCTACGGCAGAAAGGCTGAGATTCACTCTCATCAGCTGACTGGGGGTCCGCAACCGACCCTTTGGCCAGGGAGAGGGCTGGACTGACCGCGCCCTCCTTCCATGAGGGGGGAGTGTGTTGCCTCAGGTATAGGGAGGGGTGGTCCTCGGAGAACGGTTTGGCCCCAGGGGCAGCGGATTCCTGGCCAGGCACAGAACCACCGTCAGCACAGAACTCTGGGCCCTGATTGCTCAGAGGAGGGGCCCAGGCAACAGCTGTTGAAGAGATGATAATGTCCCTGCTGGTGTTGTGGTAGATTTCCTCTAGAACTTTCTCTACACACACAGACGTGTGTTTACTTGTAAAATTAAGGTCCTCTGGTAAATAGCGTTCTGTCCCTTTTCTCTTAATATGTGTGTTGTAAATATATTTTAAAAAAAACTGTGGCTTTTTTTTTTTTTTTTTAAACCATTTTTTTAAAGGACTGCCCGGTTTTCGGCCCAGTGGTGGCCCTGGCCTTCGGTGACGCAATCCCAGAATTGTCAGGCACTTTTGTTTGCCTTAAACACTTTCCCTTTCTGGGTGTTGCAAACAGTGTGATGGTTATCCTTGAGGAAGAATCTTTGTCCAAATCTCTGATTTTCCTCGGATTATATTCCCAGAGGTAGAATCGTTGGGTCACAACAAGGCCACGTTTTTCGGGCTTTTGGATAGTCATGGTCAAACGGCTCCCAAGGCAGGGACGCTCCCATTGGCCTGTGAGAGTCGCCCCTTCCCCATTGGGGGTATGTTTTGTTTGCTGTTGTCCTAAGGTTCACTGTTTATTTCCCCCCTTGAAACAGTTTAGTAGAAAACATTTTTTTTTCTTGCCCCCAAGAGAACATGAAAGTCGCTTTGATCCTCCCACCTGGTGGTGGGTTTTAATGGGGGCTGAAGAGGGGCCGAGGCCAGGGAGCAGCCACAGCCTGGGGTTGCCCAGCTTGGGGGGCTGCGACCCACCTTTGTCCCTTTCCCTGGGTGCCCACAGCCTGTCCCGGGTGGGCTTCGGTGCAGATGTGGCTCCTGATTGCAGCGTTGCTGCGGGCCTCTGGGTTGCCTCTGAGGTGGGAAAACCACAGGCTGGGGTGTTCCTTTGCTGGGGAGGTCAGAACAAGTTGCCAGAGACCGGGCGGCTTACACAGGAGGCCCCAAGGTGGGAGTTCTGAGCTGAGGCTGTCGGCAGGGATGGTCCCTTCTGAGGCTGTGAGAGGGGTCAGCGCCAGGCCTTTCTCCTTGGCCTGCGACTGACCACCTTCTTCCTCTGTCTCTTCGCATCATCTTCCCTCCCCGTGTCTCTGTCTCCAGATCTCCCCTTCTTCTAAGGACACCAACCATGTTGGATCAGGGCCCACATGATGGCTGTAACTCGATCACCTCTGCAAAGACCCTGTCTCCAAATAAGGCTGCGTTCTGAGGTTCAGGGGTTAGGACTGGGACATACCCAGTGGTGGGGGCGCAATGGAGCCCATCGCGGCTGGCGTAGAGGTCACTCGGGCGTCCCCCGTGTGTCTGCGGAGAGCTTCAGCAAGACGGGTTTGCTGGGGGGTGCAGGAGGTGATGAAGCCATGCCCCGGCCTCACCTGACACCTGGATGACCTTGAAGGGGTCAGGGTGATGTCGAGGCCCTGGGGTGGGCCCGAGGAGTTCGGTCTGATACCGAGGCTTGGGCGCTGATAGGATTTTGCAGCTTTGTGGCCTCAGTTTCCCTGAGGCCAAGGGAACCAGGGAGTCTCGACTAGGACAGTGCGTAGTGGGAAGTGCTACTGACATCTAGCGGGTGAAGGCGGGGGCGCCGCCAGACGGCCTGCGGGGAAGGCGGGGCAGGATGGCAGGGGAGCCCTGCGCTGCATGGGTCCGGATGTCTGTCTCCTGGGGCTTTGTGCTTGATGACAGGGAGCATGCTTTTTTTCCATCAAGTACGTGGGGGACATTCGTAAAAGCGGATCGTATTTTAGATGACAAAGAAAATGGCAATGAATTAAAACAGAGCTCCTTGTAATTTGGGAGAGACCGATACAGAGTCTCGTTTAGGTGGATGGAGCAGCCTTTCTGGAGGGCGGCGGGAATGTTCGTTGGGGAGGTGACTGTACGCACCTGGCCACATCTGTCACACGGGTGGGATTTCCTGACACGTGTCCCAGCCGTGTACCAGGAAAATTGGAAACAACCCAGATGCCATCCATGGGGGATAAATAATGGAGGATGAATTAAAACTCATCAATGCAAGAGAACTTTGGGCTGCTTCTTCTTGTTAGGGCTGGCCATACTGCCAATATTCTGGTGTTTCTGACCTCCAGAAATGGCCATTTTTATGAGGTTCAAGCTGATAAGAATGAGGCAGATCTGTTTGGGATGTGCTAACGTGAAAAGATGTTAAGCAGAAAAAGCAAAGTGTGATGTGGCATGTGTTGAAGGATATAATTCATATATAGATATATATTCTGTGGATTTCTTAGAGACAGAGTTTCTGTGTTGCCCAAGCTGATCTCGAACTCCTGGTTTCCTTTCTTTTTTGCGTGTGTGTTGGAGTCTCACTCCATTGCCCAGGCTGGAGTGCCATGGCACACTCACAGCCACCCCAGCGTCGACCTGCTGGGCTCAGGCGATCCTTCTGCCTCAGCCTTCCAAGTAGCCGGAACTACAGGGATATGCTACTGCACCCAGCTAATTTTTTAATTTATTGTAGAGATGAGATCTCGCCAAGTTGCCCGGGCTGGTCTCGAACCCATGGGCTCAGGCAGTCCACTTGCCTCGGCCTCCCAAAGTGCTGGGATTATAGGCAGAGCCACCGGCCCGGCCCTAGTTTCAAACAATCCTTCTGCCTTGGCCTCCCAAAGTGTTGGAATTATGGGCCCAGACTATTTTAATACTTACAAAGGATGCCCACGTATGTGTGTCTGAATATTCATAAACCTTTCTAGAACCATCTACTGGAAACTGCATCAAGAGTGCTCCCCCACCCCCCACTAGGACGGACCTCTGTGGTGGGGAAGTCTTTTGTTTCTTCATACACCTTTCTGTTTGGTTTGTGTGGTGTTTTTGTTTGTTTGTTTTTTGTTTTGAGTTGGAGTCTCACTCGGTCGCCCAGACTGGAGTGCAGTGGCCACTCCTGGCCACCGCA